TTGAACCTGCGTCAGATTTGCCTGACCAATTATAGTTGACGAACAGGAAGTACATCACAAACCAACCCAAATTCTTCGTTGATTTAGATACAGTTTACTTTGCATTTAGTATAGAAAACCCGCGATGATCCAGAATCGAACAAGAGCTTGGGTTACTTTGTGTCTCCCTTTCAGTGCCTCTTCATCTCTGGGAATCAAAGACTACTCAACAGGGTGTCTAGTTCTTTTCATTTAGGGAAATCCTGATTTTTCACTGCTAAATCCTGACTTCATAATTTTTCCAAATCCTGATTTTTCGCGGAGAAAAATTAAAATTTCTGCATAAGCATAAGCGCGTGCGGAAGCAGAGCTCAGGAATTAAGTTCTAAGGATTAAAAATAAACGCGAATCAAAAAAAAAACAGCTCGATAAAAAATCCGATCGGACGGCTGACTTTTCTCAAATCCTGATTTTACGACCGATTTTTCCTCAAATCCTGATGAAATCGGGATTAAATCCTGATTAACCTCAAATCCTGATAGAGTCGGGACCATCCTGATGCTAGACACCCTGACGAAAAAGATTCAAGAATCCTGAGCACTATTCACAAGTTTTGATTTGGACTTTATACGGTTCGGTGCAAGTATACGCTGAAACATTGAAACATCTCATGCATGGAGAATCGGGATTCTTTCAGCGATTGTTTCAGGCTTTTCCTTCATGTTTCCATTGATGACCAGGGCCCTGTCGAGTGGACTGGCGTCTTTCAAGGATCTCACTAGGGACTCCCGCATAAGAAAGAACCCCTCGACCCTCATCTCACCGATTCGAAAAATCTTTTGTCTAGCACAGCCTCTCTGTATCAGTTCATCACTTCACCGTATCCCTCATTTTACGAGTCGCGCCGTATTCTACCGGGCTAAGGAAGAACGCCGTATGACCATTCGAGAGTTGCCAAATTACCTTCGATAAAATGTTCAGTTTTGAGGAAAATTATGAACGCTTTTCCTTTTAATTTTAAAATCTTCAGGTGAAATTGCGAACAAAATCAGGGCGCCCGGTTTTTTTTTCATTTGAGGAAATCCTGATTTTTCCTGATTTTGAACTGCTAAATCCGGATTTCATTATTTTTCCAAACCCTGATTTTTTGCGGAGAAAAATTAAAATTTCTGCAAAAGCGTATGCGACAGCACAAGACAATCCGATCGAACGGCCAACTTTTCTCAAATCCTGATTTTACGACCGATTTTTCCTCAAATTCTGATGAAATAGGGATTAACTAACCTTTAAATATCGACAATCTCATGAGAATACCGGACCCTCAAGTGATAATCGACTCCAAAACCATCTTAGCAAGAACTGAAATCGAACTATACCAGGAACTAGAATCCCACATAATCAGCAATCAAATCTCATGTTAAACTTCCCATTATTTAGCGGTGGCTGTTTGTCTACACGACTAAGGCCAATGAACTATATCTAGAGTGCGCAAGCTCTCAAAAAAAAAAAAAAAAAAAAAAAAAAAAACTCCCGATTGACCTGAAATCCTGATAGAATCGGGAAAATCCTGATGCTAGACACCCAGAAAATAATCTGAAAAATTGGGAGGAAAATATTTACGAGTTCACCAGAAAAGCGTTGTATAAAAGGAAACGTGGCAACGCCTGAAGGTTCATACGCCGTTCTTCCTTGAGAAGGCCGCATTGTACGCCCGGTTTATTGCCTTCACAGAGGCCTTTGATTCCACCCTCTCTCAGCAGATATTGTTCGTTATCGATGTATCCGCGAGCTGCGGTTAAATTTCATCCTCTTTCATTCTCACCCTCTTCCTCGCCGTACGGTGCGGTGCGGAAGAAATATCAAGTGGTTACCGAGTCTACTTTTGTTTTTGGCTTCTTTATTCGCGCCTTATTCATGGCAGGTGCTCGTGTCTCGTGACTCTCGTGTCGGTTTTTTAAACAAATGAAGGTGGCTTTGCATGGAGGAACCAATCGATACCGCTCCCGTCTCTGAGACTTTGTCTCCAGATCTGCTTCCTTTGAAGTTCGTCTTCTCGCCAAGTCACATCCTCTCGGAATCTAGGGCACTCGGGCTTGATTCCGTCGTCGTCATCTCTCATTAGAGGGAAACTCGAACCTCCTTGAAACCCACCCACATATCGGAAAGCTGGACTAGCAGGGTGTCTACGGAAACTGGCTGGCAAAAAAATCGGTACTTTTTACGATACAATTTCAATACTTTACCGAAAAATTCAGTACATTATTGGGGCTTGTGACAAAATCTGACATTCACGCGCAAATTGCGACAAAAATGACATAGCCGCGGAAGTCAAAAATGCTGATCACTGCATTTATCCTTTTCAGGCTGCCTTAAAAAACACGCGCGGCAAAAAGCGAAAATTTCCGAAAATTCCTGAACTTTTTCGGTACTTCCGGACCGCCCTCAAAAACAAAATAAAAAAACAGCTCATTTCCGGACTCTCTAGACCAGTGGACACTCTGACCGGATTGTCGGCTTGGAGATTTACAGATTTACAGAACTGAATTAATAACCCTCCAAACTTTGACTAACGTCCTTGAAAATATAAATAGGTATCTAGTTTTTGTTAAATTTTTTCTGAATTGTCATTATGATTCACCACGATAATTCAAAAGAGGGGATGTGTACTTAGTTAAAATAGTTGACAGAGTTCACTCATTGGATTCTCTGTTTTGGCCTACGTTATTCATATAAATCACTCAGTACTTCATACCAGTTATACTTAAAGGTAAACATCCTTCATTTCTGATTCATACTTTTGTATGAGCTACAACAGGATATTTTTCTTGTCATTCAATTATTCTCGATGAGAGACATGCGTCATTCCATGTATTTCTTCGTTCTAGAGAAAGATGCTGCTGACCCCCCGATCCTGATTATTGGGCAAGTGCTAAGTACAACTATTGCACCATAAGACTGATTGCTGCTACCTACACTATTTACCTCATTCGTCACTTTACTCAGTTCCAATGTGATGTTTTTAGAATATCAGAGGGGTAATTTATCGCTTCTCATAAATAACTAACTCATGGGCTTAAATGATAAAAATCACTCTTGAAAATTCTTGATCTGGTTTCATGTTTGCCTGCAATCATTTTCATTCATTATAGAGGTAACATATAATTTGCAGACAAAGATAAATTAATTATCTACTTTATTGTGCAGTCCTTTATTTTTGAAGTTTTAAATTAGACTCAAAGAATTAATCCTTCATAGCAGCCACTAGCCATCTACAACTGTCATACAATTGAAGTTCCTTCTAGCTCAGCAACGAATGTACGGCAGCACCCTCACTCCTCAAATTCTTCCTTGAGATTCCATAAACTCCCTTCCTTTTGACCTATCTTATAATATAATCTACCAATCATCGCACATGAACTGCATATGATTTTTGGTTTCCTGAGGAAACAAAATTTCATCTATTTCACTGCATTTACCAAACTTCGTTTCAGTGCCTACTTACTTAAACCTCATAATTCACAACATCACTACTTGGGAAATTTCTCAAATCACTCCATCAATCAGGCTTCTCCAAATTTCATGATGAGCACTGCTATCTTTGATTTAATCACAGGTGACATTCAAACTCAATCTAACGAGTGTCAAAAAATTGATAATCTTGGTATCCTCATCACACCCTAATATTCTTTGCAGATACATTACAGTGTAGAGTTTTGACCCCTCTGATTTAATTGTCAAGTCTGTGCACGGGTATCTTTGGATGTAGTTAGAATGACATACCACACAGGTCCACACAGGATTGAATTAGAATGACATGATTCACCAAGCTTCTACGGTCAGGCACAAAAAAATGAAATTGGTCAATGAAAATTCAGATGGACTGCTGAAATTTTATGGACAAAGGAGTTTTGATTGATGCGCAGATTGAACATACAGTCTTGAGTATTACAATCATTTTTGTTGTCGGCCCTGCTAAGCCCAAAAATATTTCATGTGGCGCAAGCTTCCCAATGATTTAGAATAGACAAGATCAACACATCATACTAGTAATCCAGCAGGAGTGATAATGAATATAATCCATTTACTCCAAAATAGTACAATTGCGCCTTCTTCATTCGCTTTAACGTAAAGGAGGTGTCACATCACACATGGCTAAAGAATGGCGCGACTAGCCAGCATCAAAAACCAAAATGGCAAAAATATTCCCATTCAGGACTCTCTAGGATAAGTATCAGTCTGTCCTCGAGTGACTTGTCAAGCTCCTGTTATAACTACTATTGGTCTATTCAATAACACGTCTTCAGACCGAGAAGTCTGAATTCCAGTTGGGACAATTAGTGGATATACGGTGGTGGAGACAAAGCAAATTGAGGAGGTAGATTTCCAAATAATCCATTAACTTGCACTTTTGATCAAAACCTATCACAGCTTGCTCTAGTTGCCGCATAATTCGAGATGGGCACATAAATAGCAATTTTAGAATTGGAGGTTAGACTGCGGCTAAATTGTAGAAAGAGAACACCTACAATCGGCTGCAATTTCAGCCATATTTCCGTAAGAAGGCACTAGTTAAATGGGAGTAATAGGGAAGAATAAATGGCTCTCAGTGATAATTTTCCGTCTCATATTTTTCTCACAGGTAAATTAAACACAAGTAGCCACAAGCATGGTAGGAGTATGTCTGATTCTGCTTGTATAAAAGGTGATTCCCTATCAAAAAAAACCTTGAAATAATAGCAGTGACTGTGAAATAAGCTCCTTCCTTTGATAAATATTAAAGGATGAGAGCTAAGTGACCACCTGAGCCCTTCACCTCCTCAGCAAGTTGAGAGTGACATTTTCTCAGTTGTGATGGAGTAACCAAGCTGAACAAGATAGTGAACTTTCAGCCTTGGAGAGAGAGAGTTGAACATAGACGTTCATGAAAGCACTCTAAATAATCGACGAAGCGAAAAAACTGATGGAAATATCCTCAGAGGTATATGATGCCTCGGTAATGAATTCATATCATAGTGACTCACCTCCATCAGTTTCATCAGTGATCGCTGTAGACACACAGATAAACGTTGCAGAAATTGCAAGACACACAGCACTTAAAAATAATTTGTCAACCATTTGGCCGGTTAACAAGAGCTCGATAGGATAAAAAAACAAATCACTCGAACATTAAACAGGCTACAGTTTCCACAAATCAGGAAAAATAATAACTGGAACACACAAACACAGAGAACACGATATCCACTTCGCTCGCTTCACTGTTCACTCCCGATTGTTTTTCTCAAAATGGTAACCCTCTACACCTATCTCGGTTCCCTGTTGGTTTCCTCCTCTTGCCCGCTAGAGCGCAGCACGTCGCGAGAGGTTGGAGCCCACCTTGCGCTCCCATTTTATCCTTGAACTTATCCTTCCGCTGGCTACGATCGGGCATTTTCTTAGTAATTTATCATTACTGGTGCGAATGATCCTCTGAACTGACAAAAATATGAAATAGACGTTTTCGTACGACGCAATTTTCAAAGATATGGGGACAAAATTTACATCAAGCGACATGGAACACGCTGTTTGTGCATTGGATTTTATGCAAAACAGGAGCGACAGCAACATCCTCTGTCGGAAAAGCACTGCAAGTTGATTATTGATTAGTTCTCGGATTCCCGTCGCGCAAATACATGGCTAGGAAAGGCAATGAAATTTTCTTTTCACCTCAACCGATTGAACATTCCGAAATTTCTGGAGTAGTTAGACACGAAATTATGAGATCAGTCCTAAATTTTGTAGTGGACAATAAAAGTTCGTAACCTACTTCAGGTTAGGTACTTACACCACAGGCGGCTGTGAAAGGATCCATTCTCTGATGATATTTAATCAACATTAAATTCAAATTTTTGCTCGTTATTCGTCCTTGGAAAACAGGAGCTGTTTAAGGGAAGGGGGCCAGAGGAAAATACACCCCACCCCCCCGTTCTGCCTACACCTCAATATCCATGCTGTATCTAGGGTACCTAACGTTATTATTTTAATCACGTTAAGTACAGCGATTGTAATCATAAATCGTTAATGTTCATACATTCGATTACTTTTACTATCAGCCTGATAGTAAAAGCCTGAGGGGCTTTAAAGTGGGATGAGGGCTCCTTAGTTCGGTGGAGGCACCATTTAATTTCCTTTAAACCCCCTTTTTTGGATTCATGAGACTTCGGGGAGATCACGAAAAGTTTTTTTAACTGCAGCGAAAAAAGATAAAAAATTTATTTTCTGAACATAAAATTTTCTAAAATTTTACAAGAAACCGACGCGACGCCTTGATTTCCTCTTTAAATAAATGCGACGATTTTCGGCATACTCAATTCAAAAATGATGCAATTTTACAGGTTTTTCATCGATAAAAATATGCGTAAGTACATCATTTTGCGGCATGCACGCGAATTTTCCAGTAATATGATTGCACATAAGATCACACAATTTTCACATAATCATCTCGGAAAGTGCGCGATTTGCGATTTGTATGACTATGATCTTCACGTACATCAGTAATTTGAGACAGGCGAAAAGCTACGATTTTCCTTCATTTTCACGTGATACACGATATCTACTCCGGAGTTCAAATAGTTGCTGGTTTGATTTCCGCATTAAAGATGCCAGCATAATACCGTTACCTTCCGGCTGAAGTAGGTATCACATGCTCCATGCGATGTTCAAAAATTTCCGCCGCTATTTTATTTTCTTACAGAGAAATTATTCAACAAAGCTGTCCGAAAATTTCACTGACTTATTTTCTTTGAGCTGCCGATCAAATTCAGTGAAATTTTCAAATAGGCTCAACCAACAAAATCTCTGTAAAAAAATAAAATGGCGGCGGAAAGTTTGAAACTTCGCATGGCGCTTGTGATACTTTGGCAGGAAGGTGACGATACATACATTTATTGATGGCAGTAATTTGAGACAAGCGAAATGCTAGGTTTCTCGGGTGAATCCACATACATAACGGTTTTGTCATAACAGGAGAATTTAAGCGTTTGCCACCTGGATATTGCGACATGTACGCGCTTATTCTGGCTTACGCATGCAATTACGCGTTTTCTTATGAGCATCGCGGCAATCCGAAATGCCAGTCATTAGAGACAAGCGAATTGGTATGATTTTCTTTAATTTTCAAGTGAAATACCACATACCTACTTTGGAGTTAAAATAGTTGCGCGCTTAGTGACCGCTTTGATCAATGCTGATTCACGAAATCATTTATGCGACTTTCCGCGAACAAAGAGAGAAGACGCGATTTTTCTACGGTTTTTTTTCTTAAAATTTAAAAAAAAAATAAGAAATTAAACGTTATTTTTATCTCGGTTTCGAAGCTAACATGCGATTTTTCCGGCTAATTAGTAAGAAAGTGAGAAAATACGCCTTTTTCATTTCATTACAGGAGGAAGTGGGCGATTGGTCCATTGATCCTGTCAAAACTTGAAAAGATTACACAATTACGCAAAAATTTAAATCATGCAATATTTTGAGTGTCAAAACATATGATTACATACCAAAAAAACGGGTCGTAGGGTTGTAGCGGGAAGCAGGAAAACCTGAAAAATAAGATCGAAAAGAAAATCGTTATTGGGACGAATCAAAAATATGAGAGCTATGATCTAAAGCGTACCTATTGGGGTCACATGTGAACATTGGTATAAGGGGTGGAGGGATTGAGTTGTTGAGTAAGATGTAAATATGGGCGCTAAAGTACTTGAATTCCTACTTAAAAAATACATCTTTAGAACGATGCGGAGACGTAAGAGGAGATCATGAGAAAATTATTGATCGGAGAGAAGTAATCCAGGAGACTCGCGACGTGAAGAATGGATAAAAATTAAAACGGAAAGCTCGATTAATCATGATATGGACTATTTTGTAATCTGAAACTACTAATGGACCACTAGACAAGGTACGAATTTAAGCGATCTGATACATGTTTCGTAACCAGAATTTCACGTAGAAAACGATTCACACAACGAAAATTACGGAAACCAACTCCTAACGAAGATATTAACGTTTTTATTTCACATTGGTCACGAGGAATTTGAACTGCCCGCTCACAAGAAACTCAAAACTCTACGTGAGTCAAATCGCCCACTACAACGGTTTCAGCAAGCTCCTCAATCGAGCAATGTTCATTTCCCATCATGTGTTGTTCAAACTATTAGCAATTTGCTATAGCTGAGCCAAAGCGTCAAGATTGAGGTTGCCAGATTTTTATATCGCAGAGACTGTCATGATAACGTTTAGCGCGCGATGTGAATCACGTACAGCATTGAGTTTTCATGAGCGGGTGGTTTGAATTCACGCATTAAGAATCATTAAATATCTTCGTAAGGAGTTAATTTCGGTAATTTTTGTTGTGCGTATCGTACTCTATGTAAAATTTTGGTTAAGAAACATGTATCAGAATGCTGAAATTCGTACCTTATCTAGTGGTCCATTTTCCTCAAAAATGAACATTTTATCGAAGGTAATTTGGCAACTCTCGAATGGTCATACTTACGGCGTTCTTCCTTAGCCCGGTAGAATACGGCGCGACTCGTAAAATGAGGGATGCGGTGAAGTGATGAACTGATACAGAGAGGCTGTGCTAGACATGCTAGACATGCTCATGAAAACTCATAATGCTCTACGTGATTCACATCGCGCAGAGCATTATGAGTTTTCATGAGCGGGTGGTTTGAATTCACGCATTAAGAATCATTAAATATCTTCGTAAGGAGTTAATTTCGGTAATTTTCGTTGTGTGCATCGTGTTTTACGTAAAATTTTGGTTAAGAAACATGTATCAGAATGCTGAAATTCGTACTTTATCTAGTGGTCCATTATGATGTATCGAGGGTGCAGAAATTTCTTCGCCTTCACATTATTGTCCACATTAGACTTGCGCGCCTCACTATTACCTTCACTAGAAAGAGCGCGCTCCACTATCTCTTTCGCATAGGAGGACTAAGGAGGTTCCCTGTATGACTATTTTCTTCGTGTAAGAAGCGCTTTACAAAGTTCCCATCGCATACCACCATGCGCTCAGCTGGTTTATGCCTTCTGCATCCACATTTTCGTCCCCTTTCCAATGGGTCGATTAGTAAAAATGGACCACTAAACAAGGTAAGAATTTCAGCATTCTGATACATGTTTCCTGACCAAAATTTTACGTATAACAAGATACGCACAACGAAAATTACAGAAATTAACTCCTTACGAAGATATTTAATGATTCTTGATGCGTAAATTGAAACCACCCGCTCATGAAAACTCAATGCTCTACGTGATTCACATCGCGCGCTAAACGTTATCATCAACGTCTCAGCGATATATAAATCTGGCAACCTTAGTCCTGACGCTTTGGCTCAGCTATAGCAAATTGCTTATAGTTTGAACAACACATGGTGGGAAATGAACATTGCTCGATTGAGAAGCTTGCTGAAACCGTTGTAGTGCGCGATTTGACTCACGTAGAGCTTTGAGTTTCTTTTGAGCGGGCAGTTCAAATTCCTCGTAACCAATGTGAAATAAAAACGTTAATACCTTCGTTACGAGTTGGTTTCAATAACTTTTGTTGCGCGAATCGTATTCTACGTGAAATTTTGGTTCAGAAACATGTATTAGAATGCTAAAATTCGTACCCTGTCTAGTGGTCTATTATAGACAGAGCTATAAACAAAGACGACAAAAAGGATGTGGGTCTAACAATCCCTTAGGACTAGAAGGGTCTTATGATAAAGTCTTTTTTTATCCCTATTATGTAATTAAGGATCTTTTTGGATTTATCTTTTTTATAATTATATTTGTATTCTTAATCTGTTTTTTTCCCTTGATTTTAGTTGATTCAGATAATTTTATTATAGCTAATTCTCTTGTAACTCCACTGCACATTCAACCCGAGTGATACTATTTATCTTCTTATGCAATTCTGCGGTCTATCCCCAATAAGTTAGGGGGGGTAGTGGCTTTGTTTTTATCAATTTTGATCTTACTGATTTTCATATTCTGTAAAAGAAAATTTAATAGATTAACTTATTATCCAATTATCTCTTTGGTGGAGGCGGGTGGTTGCAATGGACAAAGGAGGTAAGTAAAAGACTAACTAACGGCAACCCACGAGAAATCATATTGTTAGTCCATCATTTTCTCCCGAAGACTGTAGTAACCACCCATTTCAACCAGAAGGAATACGACCATACTCCCTATGCCTTCTTTGACTAAAGCTTTGTCCATTTTCAATAATCAGCCCGCAGGTGCCTTCATAACTTTTTACC